GTGTGTGTGTGTGTGTGTGGTGTGTGTGTGTGTGTGGTTTGGGGAGTTAACGTTGAGTTGTTTTTGTTTTTGTTTATTGTTTTGAAAAAGAGATCGATACGTGGAAATACGGACTCCTGTGTTCCTTTGATAGTCAGGGGAAATAACTTCGTTTAATTAGATAACTGCTCTAAGGGAAGCAACCAATATTTTCTTCCGAAAATGAAAGGTTGCCGATGAGGTGTGGAGAATACTAGTCTACATTGTACTTTACTTTTTTCTGCCTCTGTTACCTTGCGGTGTCAATGGGAAGAAGCAAACGTCTTTCTCTTGTTTGTGGTGTCGCGTGTTGTATGATCCTTTTGTTCTTAACTAATGTTTCTGTCTTCTCCTCTGTCTCCCCTCTGTTTCTATCTGATATCTGGTTGTATATTATCGCTGCTCTACTTTCTAGTGGTAGGTTTGAGAGATGCCAGAATCATTTCATTGGTTATTTATCTTTAAAATTTCAAACGGGGAGCTGAGCAAAGAGAACGAGTGTAACATTTTCAGAATAATAGGTAGGTTTAGCTTCCGTAAATAATTTAGCTTTTCTAGTCTAGTATAACATATTAATGAGTATTTTAAAGCCTCCTAAATCAGTGATTGAATTCCTTAAACAGAGATATCAATTTCCCCATTTTGCGTGAGATACGAAATACCCCAGAAGGTAACATGAATTACGTATTATGCATGAAACAATAAACGCAAAGTTCTATTTGATTTCTATTGCTAAGTAGAATGCATAATAATTATTCAAAGGAGACTTAAGGTATCTACACTAGAAAGTGTCCAAGATATTTGATTTGAAAATACTTGGTCTTTGGGGTCATTTTTTTGGTTTGGTTTTTTTTTTGCTTTTTGCGTGTGGGGTGTTGTTTGTTTGTGTGTTTGTTTGTTTGTTTGTGTTTTTGTTTGAGGGAAAGGGGGCTGTTCCTTGAATATAAAGAATTGATGAAAAAGTTCCATCGCCACAGGTATGAACAAACAAACGAAAAGAACCCGCTTGAAAAGTTCAACTTTATTAAACCCGTCTTATCTCCACCTTGAGACTGATACATCAGAAAATAGAGATTCGAAATAAATCAGTAGTGTCATCTCTTTTGTGTAAGATAAATGCCTGCACACATTCTCATATAAAATTAATCGAAAACGGCAATAACATGGTACATCACAAACATGATATTATTATTGCCAATATGAGATATGCACATAAGAATGATACCAGGAATACCTGGAGGTGTCATCTCTGACTCAGAGGTTGACGCGTAATGTCCCTCAATCCGTCAAGGTCGCAATCTGCCGTTTCGCATGCTGCTATACCAAGGCCAGTCCACGTTATAATGTTGTTTATCGGTGTTACTTTTTGTCTTCCCCTGGTTCTCCTGTCCCACATCCTTCCTTCAAGCTTGTATATAGACGTGTATCCCCAAAAAGACGCACATGATGCCTTCTCGATAACGCACTTTGTATTCCTCTTCATTCTAAACAGTCTCTGCATCACCCCCCCAACTACCCCCTCCCCTCCCCCCCCCCCACACACACACCCATGGCCCGGGACAAACGGCGATCTAGCCTGTTACGCGCCTGTTACCCTTCCAATGTTAAATCATCATTGATTGTCTATATAAAGCATCTTATTGTTGGGTGAATGGAGTAACATCGTGCTAGCTAGAAAATGTACCTATTTTGAACTGAAATTCTTTTGCCTTACCACCGCGAAAGGCAAACATGAATAAAAACAAACTTATAAATGCGTTATGATATTCAAGTTCACAGTTCAGGGTACAGAATTATACTGTTATTGTTTAAGAGCATATCTGGTAGGTTTATCAAGTAGGATTTAATGTAAAAACATAATATTGATCAGGGCTTCAAAAAAGGTAGCAGTAAATGATCGATCCTCAATTGGAAAATTTACTAAAACATGTTAAAATACTTTTTTCGACATTTTTTACCAATGCAAATTTGATTATAGAAAATCGAAGACATGCATGGTAATTGTTTTTTTAAATTAAATGAAAAAAATATGGACATAAGAATATGAAAATGGTAAAAATATAGTTGCTTCATTATACATATTACGAGATGTATTATGTATGAAGGGTCCCAAGGAAAAACAAGAGAAATCAATTATTGGATGAGTTACGTTATGACAAGGCAAGGAAGGTGTGCATGCACTTTTCTTGTCCCATATTAGTGTCCCGAGCTTAAGCCTGTTGAGTCGCCCAATAGCATGCTTTGAAAATAAGCTGTACTGTAAACAATTGTGGTCTGTCAAACTTTCAGTTTTCTTTTTCTCAAAGTGCCAAAAAATGACTTCCCTTGCTTTTCCCTTGTGCCCCTTACATGCTTCTGTGTGTGTGTGTGTGTGTGTGTGTGTGTGTGTGTGTGTGTGTGTGTGTGTGTGTGTGTGTGTGTGTGTGTGTATGTGTGTGTGCTCGCACGCACCTATCTGTAGTAATAAAATATGTTATTTGAGAATGTTGAAAGAATATGATCTAAGTCAATTCATAGAACATAGAATAATTAAAGGGAGTGTACATTTAGAATGTTCTGATACAACAAGAAACTCATAAACGTAATAAAGGAGAGACAGATTGTACAGATAAAGTATCTTTCAATTTGTAAGGATCAAGCAGCAATCAAGCAGCGTCATAAGAGTTCGAGAAGCACAAAGACATCAGCATCCCTCAATGTACCATTGTCCTTGACCTTCCCCACTTCATTCTCATCCAGTTGGGTGGAGCCATGCAACGAACTGTGAACTCGCGGGAAAAGGGACCTTGTGCTCTGCTTCGACCCTGTTGATGGTATTTACGAGTTAGAGTGAGTGTACGTGTGGGGTTTGTATGTGAATGTGTGTGTGTATGTGTGTCAGAGACAGACAGACAGACAGACAGACAGACAGACAGACAGACAGACAGACAGACAGACAGACAGACAGACAGAGACAAAAAGAAAGAGGGAGACATAAAATGAAAGAGAGGGAGAGGGGGGAGGGGGCAGGCGGTGACAAAAATTGAGGGACAGGGAGAACAGAAAAGGATATCTCCAATGGAGAGGAGATATTGAAAGAGGGAGAGAGATAGAAAGACAAAGAGAGAGAGAGGGGGGGAGATACAGACAGACAGACAAACAGACAGACAGACAGACAGACAGACAGACAGACAGACAGACAGACAGACAGACAGACAGACAGACAGACAGACAGACAGACTGTGTATAAGCATAATATAATACCATGTGTGTTTGTGATGTACGGGTGATACTCAAGACAGAGTGAATATCAAGTACCTGAAGAAACTTGACTATGGTACCTGTAATAATTATAACGTAACAGAAGACTAAAGGTTCAAAACATTAGGTCATGGCGTAAAAAAGAGAAAACAACAGGATATTTTACAAGTTAAAGACAGGTGAAGCTGAACAATAACGAGAAGGGCGATGACAGGTTCAAAGTTGGATGAGTGACCACAACAGCTTATGCAGGGAAGGATAAGTCAAATAATTACATAAATTATGTATCACATATCCATACTCTACAACATGTTCTATGCGTTTTAATGATGATGATGATGATGATGATGATGATGATGATGATGATGATGATGATGATGATGATGATGATGATGATGATAATATAAGAATAGCATTTGTATGGCATATATCCCTGCATTTTATTATTTATTTTATTATCCCCAGAAGCCCCTAAAACATTCCGAAACATTCTCGGCTTCCCGGGAATTAAACAGTGCAAGCAGCTGATGAAGCGCTAAAACACTGACATACAAGATCTTTTGAGCCAGCTACCCATTTCCATCAGGGTAAAGTGAGGTAGATTCGAGTAAAGTGCCTTTCCCAATGACGCAACATCGGGCCCCTGTCGGTGTTCGAATCAACGTCTGTTCGGTTGTAAGCAAGACAGCCTAATGACTAGACCATCAACGCCATTAAACTATTCGAATAGTCGAAGAAATGATCAGGGCAGTTTTTTTTCTACTTACAAATCGATGATCAAACATGTGAGGAAAGCGAGAAAACGTGTTAAAGGAGATTAATCAACTTATCTGTAAGGTGATTGTGAAACTGTGAAACTAACTACATACCGTTGCATCAAAGAGGGAATTTTTCTCGTTTCCTAGGGCCCAGTGTATGCTTTTAGCGGACTTCACGGGTGAGAGACTTCGGCTCACGGGAGTGCCAGTTGGGTTGGTGATCTCAATACTGATGGGTGGTGACGGGGTGTGGGGGATTGGACATTGAGTGTAAAAAAGGGGGTCATGGGGGCAGGAAAATGGAGTTATAATGTGTGTGGTGGGAGAGGGGGGAAGTACTGCAATGTGGCGAGATGAAAATGTTAAGTTAGAAAGAAAGAAAATTGTTTTTAAAAGTACGGTAATGCAATTTTTAAAATGTAGCTCAGCTTGGCCACTTTTGAGACCAGCGTTAATAAAAAACTTCTGTAATGGCTTACGAAACCAACTTACAAATCAAAATCAAGGTTGTTTGAAAAAGCATAAAAAGTAGTCATTGTGGAGAGAGTTGGGGCATGATGGCTTGATAAGAACTTTTATAAAATGTGCTCTGCGAGTTGTAACTCAGAAAACATAACTCTTCAGCAGCTTTTCAGAAATGCAAACGCATGTGTGTGTTTGCGTGTGTGTGTGTGTGTGTG